GGCTGCTCTGAAGTGGTCATTGTTATTCAGAAGAGAAAAGGAACCAGAACAATGCTGCCTGCCTGCCTCCCACCCCTTGAACGCCAGTCTCCACTGAGAAGTATCTTCACTCCCCAGAGCTGAGCAGGTACAATAGTGGCAGAAACCTGACTTTTGGTTTTAGTCCCTTCAACACCGCAGATAACTGCCTCCCTGCTGCTGTGATTAAGCTCAAGAAACTCAAAAGGTCCCATGGGAGAGTTTGTGGCCCCAGCTGGGTCCCTGAACTGCTGTCAGCCAAGTACAAGCAGCTGTTAATGGAGCCACTGCCTGGTGGTTTCTTCTGCTCTTGCTCTCCTGGGTATGAAGAAAGTGACTGGGCTGCTGAGAACCAAACAACCTTGCAACTGTGTCAGATAGCCACCAAACCGTCCAGTCCCAGATCCCAGCTCCAAAGGCTGTGCTGTCCTCCTAGCCAGGAGCCTGGAGTCAGCATCTCACTTATCCCATGTTCAGTCACAGCTGACATAGTTTTGCTAGCATCCATTGTCCATTTACTTGTCCAGCCTTAAGCAGAGGTGGGTGGTCAACTGGCCATAGAGAGAACTGGAACTGTCGCCTAGTCCTGAAGTGCAGGCTTCTGCTAAGGGCAGGCAGGCTACCCAAGGTAGCAAACTTCCTCATTGCCTGCATGCAGCACAACCTCTTCAGAGTAGAGGTGCTGCCTGTGTTGAGGTCCCACACAGTACAGGATGTGCTGGCTTCAAACCACACACAGCCTTGGCAATGCACATTTCCAGGCCCCCCCCTTCATCTGGATCATGATTTAATATCTGTTCCTCCAAAGTGTTTGTGATTCTCTCCCAACTTGTTATCGCTGCCCAGCAGAGTCTACACTCCATCCCCCAAGCTGTTAATGAAAATATTGACCAGGGCTGGACAGAGAGTAGCTCCCTTCTGGATGGATCACGCTCGATACCTCCTCCCATGGAACCATGGATAATTATTCTCTCAAATCAGTGTTTAACTAATTTTGTATTGCTCATTCCAGGGAATCCCCATCCCTCTAGTTACCCTCAAAGAACATCAGATGCTTTCCTGAGGTCAGACTGCACCATGACCCCTGCATTTCCTGTATCCACTGGGCTTATTAGCCTGTTGAAGAAAAGAATTCGGCACATTTGCCCTATAGCACGGTTAGAGATGTTTTTACCTAAGGAAGGAGTGCTCTTAGTACTGCTATGGTCTGAAGGGCTTGTAGATCCTGTGTCTGTCTCTGTGTAAGAGGTTGTGCAGCTTTAGAGAAGAACAAAGCTGTTAGTCACCAGCTGTAGTCAAGTAGAAACTTATAATTTAATCTTTGTATTATAGTAACACCCCAGGCTCAACACAGGATTGGGATGCAGTTGTGCTGGGCACTGTGCAAACACATGACAACTTGGTCCATGCCCCAAAGAGTTTACCATCTAAGCAGACCAATGACATATGGGATGAGAGAGACAATTGAACTCTGATACCATTTGTACAGACATTGGCAATATTAGTATTATTATAAATATAGAAAGTGACAACTCTCCCCAGCTGGCCCTTGAGCCCTCATCAATGGGCTGAGCCCCATGGCATCACAGCAGAGGAGGGATTCGACGGAGGGGAAGGGAGTAGCTTTGAGGATCAGATCAGGGAGGCTGGATGGTGATGAACTTTTTAGAGCTGAAGTGAGCAGGAGGATTAGTTACCTCCGTCTCACTTCAGAATTTGTGAATGTTAGACTAGGTGACCCTTGTGGTCCCTTCTAACCCTGTGGTTCTATGAAGGCATGGTGGGAATGGGGATGAAGTTGGTGAGGGAGAGCAGGGAAAGGAATCAATTAAATAGGCTTTTGAGCACATTACTGTGGAGCCTCAGGGTTCTCGTCTGTGTGCAGAAGTCAGAGAAGAACCTCCATTTTCATTCTCCACTCCTCAGTGCTCCCCGGCCAGGTGGAGAGCTCAGAAAATCACTGGGGCCAAGTGTGCTGTCACCTAGGCTAGTGTATGTTCAGCGAGCAGGCACGGAGATGGCTCTGGACTCACACCGTGGTGTAACCGAGAGCAGAATCTGCCTGTCAGCTATGCAAAGGACAGAGCTCACTCAAGCTTTTCATGCTTTGTCTCAGTTTTACTCTTGCTCATTGAATCTTTCAGGCCAGTTTATATACTTCCCCTTCCCCCCCCCTTCTGTCTCCTTGGTGGCTGGCTTGACTGTGAGATACACTTACCAGCTGTGGAAGTGGGGGCCCCTTTGGCACATTAGGAATCCAGGGCTCCACTCTGGGGAAAACAGCGGCCCATGGAGACGGAAGCATCACAGGGAGGGAGAGAGGCAGGCACTGGAAAAGATGGGTGCTTCAGTTATTTGGACACTAGCCTGGGACTTAAAAGACTTGGGTTCTGTTCCCTGCGTTGCCACAGGTTGCCTCTATGATGCTGGGTAAATCCCATAGGCCTACCTCTTCAAAAGTGATTGGGTGGGTGGGCCCCAGTTTGTAGGAGCCCAACATAAGATGCTTTTTAAGGTCCTGATTTTGAAAGGGCTCAGCACTTTCTGAAAATCAGGCCACTTCCAGGTGCTTCTGGTTGAGCAAACGAAAAACAAGGCTTCCCACTAGCCACTTGGGAAGCTGTAGGCCAGGGGTTCTCAAACTGGGGGTCAGGACCCCTAAGGGGGTCGTGAGGTTATCACGAGCTGTCAGCCTCCACCCCAAGCCCCGCTTTGCCTCCAGCATTTATAATGGTGTTAAATATATAAAAACATGTTTTTAATGTATAAGGGGGTCGCACTCAGAAGCTTGCTGTGTGAAAGGGGTCACCAGTACAGAAGTCTGAGAACCCTGCTGTAGGCCTTCGTCTTTCAGGGTACGTCTACACTGCAAAAAAACCCTGTGGCAATGAGTCTCAGAGCCTGGGTCAACGGACTCAGGCTCGTGGGGATCACGTGATGGGGCTAAAAACAGCACGGAGACGTTCCCACTCAGGCTAGAGTCTGGGCTCTGAAACCCGGCTGGTGGCGAAGGTGGTCACAGAGCCTGAGCTCCAGCCTGAGCAAGAGCATCGACACTGCTGATTGTAGCCCCGTGAGCCCGAGTCGGTTGAGCTGGGTTTTGAGACTCACTGCAATGGGTTTTTTTGCAGTGTAGACATTCAGTGCCTCCACTCCCTGTCTGTAAGCTGCACTGGCACTTCTCTACCACACCAGGGTGTTGGGAGGGTGAATACGTTAAAGATTGTAAGGTGCTCAGACGCTCTGATGGTGGGGCCCATACAAATTAGCGAGGGCTTGTCTACACAAGGAAATTGACTGCCACAGCCATGGGGAATAATTATTCAGCTATAGCCATGCCAGTCAATATCCTTATGTAGACAAACCCATAAAGAGCGCCACACATTTGTTTTCATTCGCCGGTACCTGCCCATGAGAGGATGCATGTTGTGTCTATGAATGACCAAAGCAGGGAGTAACCACCTTGAGTTGTGCAGCCTTCTGTGCCAGCCACCAGCATGTGCTCTCTGCTGCCCTGTTGGTTTGCTTTGCTGCTGGAAATAAAAATTAATCTGCAAACCCAAAGCGCACAACATCGCTGCATTACTGACTAGTTTCCACCCAGGCGCTCAGGTTGGAACCCCACAGCTGTGACCTGCCTTGCTAGGGGGATTCTCAGCATGTCCCTAACTAAAGAAAGCAAAGGGAACTCAGTGCTCAGAAGTGTGGCCAGCTGCTGTTCTAGCATCCCCAGGGCTCTGCTAATGCAGCGCAGTCCTGAGCTGCATCACCGCCTGCTAGTCCAGTCCTGACCCCCAATCAACTCTGCCCATGCCCCTTAGCCTGGAGTTGCAGGATCCCCACTATCCATAGCACCCCTCCCATCCCAGCTCCCCCATTAATCTCAATGCTTCCCTGCTGCCTCTTCTATTCTAACCCTGGCCTTCCTGCTTTCTTCCCACTTTCTCTGCTACCCATTCAGGTAGCTTGACATTGCCCTGGGCCGACTGAGGGGGGAGAGAATGGTGGGGAGAGATTTGGACAGACTGAGGAGTGGAGAAGAGTTTGGTGGGGGCAGGGAGGCAGACAGTAATGGAGAGGAGGAAAAGAAGGGGAGGGGAGAGAGGGCAAATCAGAAAAGACAAATGGGCCCAGCTCATCCCAGTGTTTTGTCCCTCTGGGTCTGAAGGCATAAAAGGATCATAAAACTAGGTGATCCGCCCTCTTGGTAATTCCTTTGGCTAAGGAGCCACCCCCTCAGGAGCCCCTACTGCAAGAGGTATTTGGGGGGCATCCTGGGGGGGCATTGCTGCATGCCAGCTATTCCCAGCTGTCACAATAGTCCCTTGGGGGTCCTCAGGCTATGCCAAATGGCACCAGGGACTGAAGTATCCCCTGGCCAGCCTGGGGTAGAGGAGATACAAAGGTGACACAAACACCCTGAGCCCTGCCGCACCTCAGGGCTGGTGAAGAGATGGATGGGGGCCAATGGTGAATTTATGCCTCAATGGTGTTTTTAGTGCAAAACAACAAAACCAAGACACAATCAACCATCCACAATGCAAAACGTTCCCATCTTAGGCTGGTAAAATGGCCCACATGTGAGCAAACAAGGAGTGCGGGGACTGTGTCCTTCCAGGGCATGTATCCCTACATGAGATACTGGTCAGGTATCCTTCATTGGCTCTGGCCCCTTCTACTACACCAGCGGTTATAGCAGGGAGTTGGGAGTCAGGACTCCTGTGTTCCATTCCTAGCTCTGGCAGGGAGTATGGTTTAATGGTTAGGGCAGGGGAGACTGGGCATCAGGACTCCTGGGATCTAATCACAGCTCTGCAAGGGGCTGAAGTCTAGTGGTTGGTTGGGGTGGGGACTGGGAGTCAGGACTCCTGGGTTTGATTCCTGGCTCTGCTATTGACGGCAATTTCCCATCTATGTGCCTCAGTCTCCCTGCATATGTAACAGGGATAATAATATGTTCCTCCCAGGCTGGTGGTGGGGAGTTGAAGCTTAATTAATTAATGTTTTAAAGTGCTTGGAGAGTTTTGGCTAACAGAAACTATTAATATTGTCAAAGGCAGTCTCCACCCTGCTCCCAATGTTCCCCTTCTGGGGGGTTTGGCACTCTCAGAAGCCTGTGTACCAAAGATGCAGAACCATCTGCACAAAAAGATCTCCTGTGCGTGAACTTGCCAATGGCCCTGGTCTCCTCTCCAGGACCCCTGCAAACCACATCACTTCTGGGGACCTCAGCTGTTTGGTGGGTGGATGGCTGGGAAGGTGGGAGGTCTGCAACTCAGTCTGTCAGGGAACTTCCCAAGCTGGGCTTGGCAGATGGGGTGGGGAGCCCAGGGTACCTGGCACGTGATCAAACTCCCTGCTTGCTACATTTACAAATGAGTGGCTTTGGCATTTTCTGTGTCTCCATGCGCCGCCTCCTACTCTCTGAGGGGCTGAGTTTTGCAGCTTGTGCTAGGTTTTTTTCTCTCCGGTTGTTTGTCTCATTTGAAACTTTGTCGCTGTTTCTCAAACCGCCTGAAGGTGTCGGGGGTTTTTCAAGCTATTTTGAAGCTCGTTTTTCCCAGATGTGTGTGTTTTTTTTCTCAATGTAACTTTTTTCTTCTTCGTAAAGTTTCCGCCCATGTGACTTTCAGCTTACGTCCCTCGCAGCTTCCGAGAAACCACAGGAGCCTAAGACCTAGACATCACTGCAAGGTGCAGTGACAGAGAGGAGAGAGGTGCAGGGAGGGACTGGGGCAGAGTGGCAGAGAAAGTGACACAGGGAGAGCAACAACGTGACAAAGAGAGGGACGGGGAAAGAGGCAAAGAAAGTAACCAAGGGAGAGAGGGAAAGACGGCAGGGGAAGGGAGGGGTGAGTAAAAGCCAAAGGAAACCAAGATCACCAAGGACACAGAGGAAGCAGAAGAGGCCCTGGGCAGAGGGACGCGAGCCATGCCCCATAGCTCTGACAGCAGCGACTCCAGCAGCTTCAGCCAGTCACCCCCACCTAGCAAACAGGTAACACTTTGAATTCTTTGTACCCATGCTCCCATCCTGGGGTGTTTTCACAGCGCAGAATGGCAGTGCTTTCTAGGAACCAGCCTAGGGAGAGACACGCTAACTCAGTCCACCGTGCACTTACTCCACTTTGAAAGTAGAGTACAGAATTTGCAGCAAACAGGGAGTTACTGCGCTTTAAAGATTTGCATTGTGTCCATGCAGGCGTTTTCAATGCAACCTGGCTTGAGTTAGTGCAAACTAAACCCCCCATGTAAACCAGGCCACAGAGAGCTAAGCAGGAAGCCCCCATGCAGGAACAAGCTTAAAACCAAAGGACAGGGTGAGGAGTGTTTTTGCAGAGGAAGCACATTAGCACAGGCCACATGAGGGGCGGCACCTGAAACGCTTGGTTCTGACTGCAGGGGCCACCCCACAAACTCCAGGCATCCAGCAGGCTGGGAGCTTGGTAAAGTGAGAGTACAAGTGTCTCTGCAGAGACCCTGTTGTGGGCTCTGAGCCCTCCCCCAGCATGTGGTCAGGATCTCATTCTGAATCCAAATCCTTCCCATGCCATCAGACATCACTTAGGGCATGAATGAGGCTCCACTATCCTTGTCTATCCTGAGCTGCTCTCTGCACCTTTTCTATTTAAGTCCCATAAGTTTCCCTGTCTAAGTGCTGTTCTATGGAGGGATTCTTTGAGTGGGCCCCTTTTGTGTGTTCTTCCGGCTGTCCGGTGGCATGCCTGCCACGGGGTTATTCTTAAGACGTGTCCCGGGTGATTCCATCTTCTTTTCTGGATACCTGTATTAGTAACTTTATTCTTTGCTAGCTGTTAACCACATGGTGCTGCGCAGGACACCAGATATGAGGGACCTTACCCCCGAGGAGCTTACATACAAACACTGAGTAGATGGTGCTGGCTGGGCAAACAGGGATTGGGAGAGCACTCTGTCTAGAAGGGAATGAAGCTTAACAGCAGTCAAGGGGGACGTAGACAAATGGGGTACCCAGACTGGGATCTTCACTGTGCACGGCTGGGGGCAATAAGGTAAGAGGCTAGGCTGGATATGTTGTCTGGGGTGGGTTGAGGAAGGAAATTGAAGGTAAGGATGTGAGGTTTAAATTTGAGGAAATGGAGAGATCACAAAGTTGGGGGAGGGAGAAAAGGGACAGACTGATGGTTCAGGAAGATAACTCTAGAGGCTGCATTTTGCAAGCAGAGGAGGGAGGTGGTGTACGTGTCAGAGAGTCCAGAGAGGCAGCAGTTACAGTGGAAGACAGAAAATGATAGGATCTGATGAGGGTTTTAGCTGCCAGAGAGAGTGGGAGGATCAGTTCTCAGCAGAGAACCTTCCATAATAATAATAAATAATAAAAATAAGAATGAATAACAATTAATGCCGGAATGGCTGCTGAATGACGCTGAGGAGTGAGATCTTCAAGCAAAGAGACCTCACATCCCAGAGCTGGGAGGGCATAGCCCCTCTCTGCATAACTCTGGTGAAAATGTGACCTGGAATATTGCCGCCAATTCTGGATACCACATTAGCAGCAAGACAGTAAAACGCAGGGAGTTCAGAGAAGAGCAAAGAAAGCGATCAGGGGTCGGTAGTGACTGAGTCGGGGGAAAGATAAAAAAAGCTGAGCCTGGAGCTGAGCTAAGCAGGGACATAACTGCAAATGTATGAAACAGATAAACCCCAGAATAGAAGGGCAATTATTTAGGGTGACATATGGGAATTAGGAGAAAGGCAAAAAGCAAGCTGAATGCCAGGATTGACTCCTTGGCAGTGAGATAAGTCAGGCAGTGGAATCATCTCCCAGGGGAAGGGCGGGAGCCCCATTGGCATGGGACACTGGAAACTCTACTGCACAAAGAATAAAAAAGTGCTGTATAGGGGACAGTCCTGCCCTGGCCCTTGGGGAGGTTGGACTGGGTGATCCAACGGGTTTATTTTTTTCATCTTTGACTCCTGTGGTTCTGCGGGTTACAACCCAAGCCTGTACCATGGAGACAGAGTTCACTTCCCAGTTCTACCAGCATGTCCAGATTACAGAATTACATCTCAGGAGGTGGCTGTTAAGTGCCTCACACATCCTTGTAGTAGGAGAGCACCTCTACCCTGGTTTTGCACTGATGCTGTGTGTCAGACAGGGATATGTGGCCTATGTGGCCAGAAGAGTGGGTGTGGTGATCTTTGCTGAGAGGAATGTTCGCTTGGGGCTGTTCTGCCCTGTACCCCTGACCTCATGCCTCTCTATGGTAGTGGAGGTGATATCTCTGTCATTCCCAGGCGCTGTATTTTTCAGGATTCTTCTGATGACATGAGGAAAGTTCAGAGGAGGGAGAAGAATCGCATTGCAGCTCAGAAGAGCAGGCAGAGGCAGACCCAGAAGGCAGACACCCTGCACTTGGTAAGAGCTTCCATTCTCTCCCCATCTGGATCACTGGGGCCTGGCACACATAAGGGGACATGTTCTAGCACAGATGAACACACAGCACAGCCATTCAGTTCAGGCAGGGGCAGGAAGAGCATGGGCCAGCATAGCATGTGACGGCAGCTCTAGCAGCAGCTGGATGGTGAAGGTGAAGGGTGCTCCTTCCAGGAGCAGCCAGAGGTTCCCTTCAAAATGGAACAGGTGTACTCTGTTGAAAGTCACCTCTGCTGAAGCCTCTCCTCTTGGTTCCTCCTCATATTCTCTGGACCTTTTGTTTCTGCTCTTTCTGTCCTTTTGGAGATGAGATGGCTGAAGCTGAGTGCAGGATCCTGGGTTGGGTGGGAGGAATGAGGAATGTACCTCTCTTCATTAGAGGTATATTCTTTCCCATATTATTCTCCATTCCGCCATAACACATTGGGTCTGATCCTGATCCATGCATGTGAATGGAAATTTTGCCACTTGCTGCAATGGGAGTGGGGTGAGGCCCCTTTATTTGCAGTTCTGATTGCTGTTGTGCACACAGCAGATGCATTCTCTGGCTGGCAACATCCGCCTGTATTTCAGACCCAGCAGTGTGCACCTTCCCCTTGCACTTGTCCACAACGAATTTCCTCTGCCCAGTCACCTAGTGTTATGGGGTCCCTCAGGAATTCCTACCTACTCTTGATCAGTCTTATTAATTCTGTGTTATCAGCAAATGTTACCACCCTTCCAGCTCATTGATAAAAACAGTGAATAACCATGCCGCTAGGACTAATTTCTGAGGGACCCCATTCTCAACCTCTCTCTGAGCTGTAAATTGCCCACATAGTCCTACTTTTTGCACCCAGTTTTTAATCTGTGGCAAGACTTTATCTCTTGCCCTGAATTTATCGTTACCTCTTTAGTTTCTTCTGACTGTCTCAAAAATCCTTTAAAAGCCTGAATACACAAGGACAGACACTCCCTCGCCTCGCACTTCTTGTCACCTCTCGTATCCATGCAAAGAGCATGTAAAACGCTGCCATTCTGACTTGGTAGTATTTTATGTTTGCTGTGCATAGGTTTAAATGATGATACAATGTGCAAAGTCAGGAGAATCAAGCCCTAGAGCTGGAAAAGCCCCATTAGGTCTCCGTCAGTCCATTGCCTGCCATCTATGCAGGATAATTCCCCATTGTATGATTACTAGTGTTTTGTCCAGTTTAATTTTAAATGTCCCCAGTGGTGAGGCTCCTACCCCTTCCCTTGGGAGAGAGCTCCACAGCTGAATACTTTGCACTGTCCTGATATCCGGCATACATCTTGCCCCTCTTAGTTTCACCCTGTTTCTTTGCCATATTGCCACACTGGGACTGTGCAGTGGGGTTGGGGGAGGTGGGATGGGGTGTCAGGCTGTCGACTCCCACTTACTGCCCAAAGCCACTTTTCTCAGTGTAAGGAATTTGGCATCTACTTTTCCAGGGACCCTAAGTATTTGGCTGCAGGTAGCAGGCATGGGAGTGGTGTCAGAACAGGAGGGTATGACTCCTGAGTTTGTGTAATTAAATCTTAGACTTCCCTTTAAACAGGGAGTGGTCAGGCTTCTGCTCAAGACGCTGTCCCTTGATCTTAGAAGCCTCCACACCCCCATCTATCCCCACTATGGGGAGGATTATTGAGCAAGTGGTGTTAGAGCAGCTTCTGCCACAGCCTGACTGCACAGGTGTCCTCAATGCTTCTTTAGTAGTGGGTTCATTACAGGGAAGGTGTTCCTCACTATCCATGGCTGATGATCCTTTTAGAGGTGGACACTGATCCATGCTGATTTGGTTAGCTCTGTCAGTGTCATGTGATACCACAATCGCGGGGTTAGTCACTAATCTGCTGCAGCTCACAGCAGCAGATTGGAAAGCCTTTCAGTGGGTTTGTTATTTTCTCTCCCAGAGACTCCAGAGAGCAGGAATGACTACTGACTTTTCCTCTCCTCGGGCCCTCCCTTGCTGTGTCCCAAGGCATTTCCCTTGCTGGAGGAGACAGTGAGGCATGTGGCTTGCAGTTTTACCATGGTGCAGATGACACTGATACTACAATCTCTTTGTTTTCTTAGGCTAGGTCTACACTGGGGGGGGGTCGATTTAAGATACGCAAATTCAGCTACGCGAATAGCTGAATTCGATGTATCCGATCTGACTTACCCCGCTGTGAGGACGGCAGCAAATTGACCGCCGCGGCTCTGCCTGTCGACGGCACTTACTCCTACCTGGGCTGGTGGAGTACGCGTGTCGATTCGGGGATCGATTGTCGCGTCCCGACGAGATGCGATAATTTGATCCCGATCCAGGCGGGTAGTGAAGACAAGCCCCTAGTACCTGGCAAAGGTGGGAATGTGGATGGGAGCAAAGTAACTTAAGATCAACCTGGATAAGACAAAACTGACGCTAATGGGTAGGGGAGACAGCTGGAGGAATGGGACAGAGACGTGGTTTCACCTTTTTGCTGGAGATGCCTGTCAAACCTTGGCCAATATAGTTTCCAGTCTCTGGATTATAATGGATCCCCAAACGCTTTTCATCTCTGATAGGCATAGTGACTGTGAAAGTGCCTCTTGGATGCAGGACTTTCCAGTGTCAATGGTCAGTTCAGGCCACTGTAATCACTTTAAAAGGATCCAGAAGTTTTAACTGGTGCAGAACAGAGTGGCTTGTTGCTTGAGTGGAGTGAGTCATTAAGAGCCTATAACTCCCAAACTGGCTTCTTGTCAGCTTCTGAGTGTGGAGTTGGTTAAGATCTGTGAAGCATTAGGCTGTGTGGGACCCAGTGATCTGAGAGATCCCTTCTCCCTTCTGCAAGGTCCAGCTGTGGCAGTTAATATTTGATGGTGCGTTTGTTTTAACTAGTGCAAGGTGCCCCAATACTGAGGCAATAGGGACCTTTATATATCAGGTTCCTGCCACTAGCAATCCCAGCGGGGTGATCAGAGATGTGGCAGGCGGCTTTGTTTTGGATGAGTGGCTAGCAGGGTAGCTATTTAGCCCTTGGGGGCCATAGGGCATGGTAAACAGTCATTCAAGATCTTATAGCACTGTCAATAGAGTCTCAGTGCCCCAGTAGCCTGACTAAATTTCAACCTAGGTTCCAACATTCTGTCTCTCCAAATCCCCACTGTGGTTTCAACTGGACAAAGGATTCTTCAGGTCCTGTCTCAAACTGCTGAGTAGCATTGCGGGGTGCTGTTCAGTGGCTGAGGTGTTCCATGCTAGTGACGGCTGCTTTTCAGGAGCGGTGCATACAGTCTGTCATGCGTTTTGAGTACCATTAGGCAGGACTGTACATCATCACTACCATTATTATTCATTTTTTTCTTCTGAGGCCTCAGTTTCCCTCTTTCTTTCTGTCACATCAATGTCCCTCCCCCTCCCTGCCATACGTCTGGTTTCCCCGGGCGCTGGCAGGAAGCAGTGAGTCTTGTCTTACCATGGCAATGACAGGTTTCCTGTGACAGGTGGTTTTCTGGTTATTTCTGATTATAACGGCGGTTATTTATCATCCCCTCCCCCCAGGCCAATCTGCCTCAGGTCGGGATGTGGCCTGGGAGGTGTGTGCGTGAGAGGGAGCTGTGAGCGCCTGGGCGGGGAACGTGCTGGTGCTGCTGTCACTTCTCGTAAGCAGCTGCTGGGGAGAGAGTGCGGCTGAGGGCTGAGAATGTCACTGGCTCCGTGGCAGGACCCCTGGCTGGCTGGGGGTGGGGTGGGAGTTGCCCAGACACAGCGCTGCTTTGAATTTACAGGAAATGTGTCACTGTGGAAACTCTCCGGGGTAGTCAGATGAAGGGCTCAGACCTCTCTCCCCCTACCCAGATACCCCCAGCCCCTTCCCTGAGGCATAGGGTGACCAGATAATAAGTGTGAAAAATCAGGACAGGGGTGGGGGGGTGGGGTAATAGGAGCCCATATTAAAAAAAGCCCCAAATATCAGGACTGTCCCTATAAAATCGGGACATCTGGTCACCCCACTGAGGCAGTTCTATCTGCTCCCAGCAGCACTGAGATACTGCAGTGACAGCCAGACACTTGAAAGGTGCTGATAGACAGACAGACAGACAGATCAGAAAAGCCATCCCCTTATCTTCTTTCAAGTCCCTCCTCAGACTTGTCTCTTCTGTAAAGCACAAAGGAAACTGCAACCTGTGAATTGTTAGGCAGGGGGCGAATTGTGATCACTGCTCCTGACTGGCTGAGAAGTGTGTACATCCTACCCTGTTCCCCTCATCCGCACCCCTGCTTATTTGTCTTATCCACTGTTATGTTGGTCTCCTGGACTGTAAATTCTTTGGGGCAAGGGATTGTCATTTCAATGTGTGTACAGTGCCTGGCATAATGGGGTCCTCAGCTGGTTGCTTTAGGCACCAGAGCAATATCAATGTATAATAATAACATAGATGGGAGCCAGCTCCCCCTGCAGTTTGAGCACTAACCCAGCTGTCCTCCCGCTGCTGCTCTGCAGAGATACCATCGCCCTCTACCTCCCACCCCCTCTGGCCACACTGCTCAGCCAGTTTTCCTCCCAGAATTCCCCCCACCCCTTTGATGGCTCTACAGGCAGAACGCTAATCTAGTCCCTGCTGCTTTTGTGCCCTCAGGAGAGCGAGGACCTGGAGAGGCAGAACGCTGCCCTGCGCAGGGAGATCAAGCAGCTGACAGAAGAAATGAAGCATTTCACCTCAATGCTGAGCTCCCATGAGCCCCTCTGCTCCATCCTGACCACGGTGCCCCAACCGCCCCCGGAGGTGCTGTATGCCACACACTCCTTCCACCAGCCCCACATCAGCTCCCCACGCTTCCAGCACTGAGCCTGGCCACAAGGACATGCAGCCTGCAGGTTCCACAAATGGAAATCAGAGACCCCACGGGGCTCACTCTTTGGTTCGCAGGAGGGACATGGACTGTTACAGCTATTCCTGCCCCTCCTTCAAGCGTCTACTGAGCCAGGCCCAGGGTCACATGTCTAGGAGTTGGCCCCGGTGCAGATATGGCAGAACACCAGGAGGCATCTTCAGGGAGGTTAAATCTCAGATCAACAGAGAAGGGAAGCGTTTGCAAATTGGCACCAATCCCTGTTCTGTTGTTTGCACTGGGACCCTCGCATGGGTCTATGTGACACAGGAACCCTGTCTCCATGTGAGCAGTCAGCTGGAGACTTCACCAGTGAGTGCTCCCAGGAGAGGAGCGCTGGGAATGAGGGGCCATGGGGTAGCGGGGGAGACTGTTTTTTTTTTTTTTTTTAAATTAAAGAGTAAAATGTTTAACGCTTTCTATAAAAACCTGGCATGGCCTCCCCTGAGATTCCACATTACACACTGAGCATGGCGGAAAACGGGGAAGACAACACTAGAAATTCTGGGGAACGGCCCTATATGGAGCAGCGGAGACCTGGGGCTGGAGAAGCTGTGCTAATGTCTAATCCAGACAACAGCAGCCTGTCGTCAATGTGTAACAGAGGGGCTGGCATGTCTCTGCCCTCTCTCTGGGCCAGGAAGGATGAGGAAGGGCCATTTATGTGTTTGTTGTGTCCTTTGGCCTTTCCTGTGGGAGATCTATTCCCCAGCGCTGCAGGGATGAGGCTGGCTGCTAACGCTGGTACCTGTACATACACAGTTACAACTCACTTCTCTGCTGGCTCCCCCAGCTCTCAGCTGCCTGCAGACCAAATTCTTTCATTAAAGATCCCTGCTGGCTCTGTCATGACAGAAACACAAAGGTACAGGTAACAATATGGACTGTATCTGCAGCAGACACACACACCAGTCACGGAGCTGGCCACCCATGTGCCCCAGACCTATGCACAGGTTTGTGTGCATCCTGCCTCCACAAACCCTGTTGCTGCCGTAGATTGGTGTTTGGCCATTCTCAAAATTACTGCCTACTTTAAGGAATAACAGCAGCAGTGTTCTCCCAGCAAGGGGCACTGTCTGCAGCTTTGCTAGAGGGGTAAGAAATAGACATTGTGCTGAAGCTCTGGAATTAAGTGATCTGAGCTATGGGTGCCCTCCTTGCTCACAGGAGGTTGTTTCCAGTCTCTCTGGTGTGTCAGAGAACAAACCCAAAAGTGACAGGCAGAAGAGCAGGAAACTCCCTGAAGTCCACTAGTAACCTCACTGTACACCTGGGAAGTTCCAGTGATGGGTGCTATCCTCCTCTTCCCCCATGTGAAGTTGCCGCAGGAGGGGCCCAGGAAACATTGTGAGGTTTCTCACTAACCCTCCTTCAAAGGACATGGCCTCCCAACCTTGCTGTTCCTCCTGGGAAGGGAAGCCCTGCTCCCTTGGATGCAGGGGTGTCTATGTGGAAGTTTGGGCTCCTCTGCCAAGGGGAGGGGCACGCACAGGGGTAAGATGATGGTGATTCTAGCAGAACCATTTTAGAATCTGGAGAGAAGTAGGCCATGGAAGGCAGCCTCCTGCTCCCAGCTCCCCTCTCATCTCTGCAGAGGCAGGATGCCAGGGCTTCCACTGGCAAGCATGGCTGACCCAGTGCACATCCCAGGCAGGCAGCAGAGGAATCTGGATTTTGTTTGTATGCAATATGCCAAAGCAGAAGACACTAAAAGGCAGTTGTAAATATCCCAGCCATATAAAATCTAGCAGGCTTTGACTGGGGCAGTCTCAGGGCATCTTACAAATCCCTGGATCTCACACAGGTAGGAATTTCATTATATCCAGTCACACAGCAACCAGAACTACTCACCCCCCAATGAATGCCCTGCTTTGAGATCCCCGTTTTATAGGTTCTTTCCCAGAATGTGCTCATCTTGTAGCTGGCCCTTTAAATCTGGGAAAAACAACTAGCTGTAGCCCCAAAGTGATCATTTAGTGTGAGTGCTGCAGACTGCACTTCCTCTCCTTCCAGCTGGTAAGTGCTTCGGGTCCTGCTGAGTGTTCTACTGGCTTTTTCATTCTGTCATCTCTAGAGCTGACCTTGCATGTTGGTCTAGAAGAGATTGGGGAGCATACAGTGGGTCTATTGCTCCCATATTTGTTCTTTCCCATGCAGGGATCCATCAGGCTCTGTCTCCTTACTGGGGGAGAGACAGGCCCCATAGCAGGAGTCTCCACTGATTTAAAATACCTCCTGGCTTATGGGGAATCTCTGTCCATTTTCACAACTTTAGTGCTTTTTCACTGCTTTGAAATTCCACGCCTGTTTTACCTCTAGGCCAGTGGTTCTTAAACTGTGGGTTGGGACTCCAAGTTGGGTCGTGACCCCGTTTTAATTGGGTCGCCAGGTCTGGTGTTAGACTTGCTGGGGTCTGGAGTCGAAGCCCAAGCGCCCCTGACTGGGATCAAAGCTGAAGCCTGAGCCCCACCACCTTCAGCCCTGGGTGGCAAGGCTCCGGTTACAGGTCCCCTACCTGGAGCTGAAGCCCAAGGGCTTCAGCTTTGGCCCCACTGCTCGGGTGGTGGGACTTGGGGTAAGGGGTAAGGCTGGGAGATGGCTTCACAGCTATCTCCTCTACAGGGACATGACAAAGGCTATCAGAGCTCACTCTCTTTCTAAACAAACACTAGTCCCTTCATGATGGGACCTTCAACCCTAGCGCTTGCCTCTAGTGTGGCTGTCTGCAAGCAGGAAGAATTCCTTCAAGCAGCTCTGTATGCAGCAAGATCTACCAAATACCACCGGGTTCTTTTATGTTTGTGCCAGAAGAAATTCTTCCAATCTGAACTGCTCTCACCATGACACTAGCAGCCAGTCAGTCGCTGGTCCCAATGGGTATTTTCTATATTTCTTTTCCTCTTATTTGTATTCCTAAGGATTTTTGCATAAGAGCAGCATCTTGCCTTTCTTAAAGCCCCTTAGGTATTGTCTCCCCACACCCAGCCCTGAGCCACAGTCTGCTGTCAGAGATCACAGTGCAGTGGTGTGAAGATGATTATGATGTCACAATTGGAGAATTTTGATGTCATCTGGGGACATGCCAGTTTGCCCCTGTTTTAATCAAAATTGCTAATAGTTATTCCTCTCTGTCCCTCTGAAAGATTCTCCTAGTCCCATCTGTTCAGTAGAGGTATGTTCTGATTTTTCTCCTTTATAACAGATCTAGAGGTTCTCCCCTTATAACAGATTTCTCTGAGCAGCAATGGATGGAAGGATACTTAATACACACAGAGAAATCCTGTTTTCATTCAGAGGTCAGTGATGAAGAACTGAGGGGCAGAAATATAGAGAATAACTGCTATTTAAGGAATTAAGGCTCCGGGGACTTAAGCACTGGTATTGTGCTGACATCTTCTGGATGTAAGAAGAACTGTTCAGATATTAATGGCTTCATCGGGATATTCATGTTGTAAAACGTTTTGGGGAAGCTTTTTTGCATTCTGATAAATCGGAGCTGATTTAAAGCTCAGCCATTGACTAGATACCATGGAAGGAATCTGAATGATTAAAGCTACTACCTGTTAAAAGGAGGCTTGGGCTGCAGCCTTTCCCCAGCTGATTGAATCTCACCTGGAATGATGCTGTGGTGATGGGAGCCCATCTAAATGCCTAGACAGAAACAAGAAGCTTTGTTTGCTTATTATTTCAGAACCAAGGATTCAGTGAGTGAATGGGGGGGTTGGACGTGGGGATTCTACTGAATCATCCCAGCAAGTTTCTATCGCATCTGAAAAGTTTGGTGAGCTCTCCTCAGCATTTTGTTCCCCACAACAACTTCCCTTCGTTCCTGTATGTCACCTGCACAGTGGTGTGCAGCAAATGCACATACCAGATGTGGAAGGGACTAAGTGTCTAAGTGAATTGCAGTTGGAAGGGTAGTAGCTCTATGCTTAGAATTTTTTTTAAAAGGTCTTATTAATCTTATTAGGCCTGATCCTGTCTAAAGGTAAAACTTGGCATCCTAGGTTGCTTGTTTCTCTGTAATATCTGAGTAATGGCTGATCTTAATGATTGGCTACCCAGCCAGATAAGTTGTGTAGTGTGTGGTTTTTTTTTTTAATATTTGAGTGTGCAGGAGAATCTGGGTTTGATTCCTGTAATTGCTATCTTGTCTCCTGGGACTTGGGTGATACCATAGCAAACGTTACTGCCATGGGCTGTGCTCTGGGCAGATCTCTGACTAGGCAGGCTGAAGCCTGGTCAACCTTTGAGTGGGAGACCTCCAAGTTCAGAGAATTGGTGGAACACAGGTATCTATTGTGCACTGGGCTGCAGCTGTGCTTGCTATTCCTGCAGTCCTGGTCATTGCTGTCCTCACAATAACGTATTCATTTATTTGTTGTTATAGATTTTCCTCCACTAAAACAAAGTGAAGGAAATTGCTGTGTTTGCCAAATGTCCATCAATGCAGTGATCAGGTGAAGCTGTGACATTGGGGGGAATTCTGAGGTATGCTTTTCTCAGCAGGCTTCCCCAAGCCCATTCCCATATACAACCCACACTAGGCTTTTTTCAGCATGCTCATGCAGCAGTTTTGCATTAAGGCTCTGGAATGTCAAGGATGGAGGTGCTCCCACCACACTCATGCACAAACTCACTGTTTTGCAGCATGGCAGATGCTTGCTATCCACATTTCAATGCTGCTCCTCCAGTCAGATGTGTACAGATAATGAAGCTCAACTGCTGAGTTACATTTAAGCATCTCCTTGCTGCCTTGACTTTGCTCTGTGCCAGCCCTACTTCCTCTTATCACATTCCTTCTTGTCTCTTTCACCATATACATCAAATAACTTCCCACATTGTATCCTTCCTTTCCTCCGCTCTTAATGAGCCCTTTCCATCCTGCCTTCCCTGTGCTTGGAATGCCTTGCTTGGCCCAGTGTACCTAGAGTGACCAGATAGCAAGTGTGAAAAATCAGGATTGGGGGGTAATATGTATGTTGCCTATATAAGACAAAATCCCTAATATGGGGACAGTCTCAATAATATTGGTCACCCTAAGTATACCAGATACACACACTCTTCTTTCAAATCCCTCTTCAGAACTCACTTCTGCCAAGCCTAGTAATGCTGCCAACCGATGGCAGGAAAAGTATCATCACCTCCCCCGCCACCCATTTCATTAAAGCAACAAGCTTTAAGAGAGACTCAGCCTCTGGGTCTCACAGCAGTGTGCACTGTTAAATCTGAGGCTTGTTTACACAGAAAAGTTACATTGATGGTAGAGTCTTGTGAGGCTACTAAAGAAGCTAACTAGTCCTGGAGTAAGAGGCAGAGTACTGTATTGTCATGGATCAAACACTGGCAAGGCTGGTATAGCTGAAG